GAGTAATCCACGTGACTAATAATAATTAATCCACGTGGAGAAGGTTTGAAAATAATATTTTTGGAGTAGACACCGAAGTCTTCCCCTTCCTAGCTGGGTTGTGTTTTAAAAAATACGAATCACGTGCCGTGTGTTTTTGAAAATACGAATCCTCCCCTGCTTCCTGCCCTGACATTCACGTTTACTTGCACGTCATAAAAGGTGTGGATTGTCTACACCGAAACAAAAAAGATACGGTTCGTTCTGTTGCTATGTTTGAAAAAAAATTTCGGAAAATGATTTTTTTTTCACTTTATTTGAATTTTGTAGATGGGAAAGTAGAACTTTCAGAATTTTAACTGTGCTGGGTTAATTTTTTTTTTAAATTTCAAAAATTTTACTAAAAATAAAATATAAGATTGAAACGAATTTTATGAGAAAATAATTTTAAATTATTTTTTAAATTTTTAAATCAAAATTAATTAGAATATATAATTGAAACCCATAAAAGTTCAAACGAAAAATAACATTTTACTATTCAAAAATTTAAATTTTAGTATTATACCTCTTTAAACAGATAAAAGAGAATTTTTTTCTTATAAATATTAAATTTATAATATTTGTCCTCTAAATTAACATTCTAATAGAAATTTTTTAAAAATTTCTACTTTTAAAATATATAAGTATCTTTTTAGGTATAAATGATGATTATAAATGGTTGAAATAGAGAAAATCAATCATATTTATACTTAAAAAGATATTTATACCCTTTAAAAATATTTTTTTAACAAATATTTTACTAAAATGTTAAATAGAACGTAAGTGTTATATATTTAATATTTGTATGGGTAAAATTTCTTTTATATATTTATAGAAAATATAATACTAAATTTTAAATTTTTTAGGAGATTAAGTACTATTTTTCCCAAATTAAAACTTTCCCTTTCTTGTGGTCCATGGAATTTTTACTTTTTAAGAAAACATGTGTTATTTTAGCAAGGGGTAAATCTTTTTTACAGTTTAGATGTTTTATATTCTATATAAACCATAATTTTAAATGCTAAATAATACTTCTTGATAATATAATTACCCGTTATATTTCTTAATTTTAATTTGTTGGAAAAAAATTGACAAACTGTACTTGTATTGGAAGTCGATAAAAAGCATATGCTAAGGCCCCCTATAAATTAAGTATTAATTTTCCCCAACTTTCCAGGAAAATTGAGCTTTATTTATGGGCCCACTTTTCCAGAAGTTGCCCCCAAAAAATTCCCGGTTTTAAAATCAGTTTTGAAAGTGCGAAAGATGTCGAATGAGCCGTCAACTCGTACCTACTCGGTCTAGATGTTATTAAATAATTGAATAAATTTATACTTGAATATCAAAATTAAATTTTACTTTAGAATTCAATAGAGCCAAACGTTTAATAATATGACATCTGTCAATGCTTTTAAAATTGGAAAGTGCCTTTTATTAAATTATATTCATGCATTTATTATTCTTTTTTCACATTAATTGACGTGAGATGAATTTTGTTATTCTTAGAAAGTAAAAAATGTTTAAAGAAAAAAGAATATAATGGTTGAAGCAACGTGCGAATGGCAACAGGCGGGCACCACTTACCCATCCTTCTATTCGACTAGAAAAGCAATTCTCATACTTGTTTACATACTCAATCAAGTATAAATTTTAATCTTTTATCTCTATATAATAGTTGATTGATATTATATAAGAATGTCAAAATGGGTTTAGCCTATGGCCAAGGATAATATGCCGAGCTAGACTAATGAATTATAAGCTCGATTTTTTTTTATCTCTCAGTCGAGTTTAGCCTAAAAATAGTAGATTAGCTCAAAATGGGCCGGTTTGTGATAGATCAAGTGCTAGGCTGGCTCGAATTGACAACTAATATTATATATGTCTCCATTCCTAACACTATAACTATACCTATGTATTTATTTCAACATAACTTACGTAATTTTTTAAAAAATCCCTCTTTATTCTTTGAAGTAGTTGGGAGATTAAAAGAATACAGAATCCGGGTGGATTAAAGTCATTTAATTTACTAATTTTTATTTTTAAAATAATTTAAATTATTAATTTTAAATTATATTGGTTAAAGAATTTTATATTACTAAATTAAATTTTAAAACTTTTGAAAATATAAATATTGAAATTTTATCCATTTCTTTCCGTTTAAGGAGGGGACTTAGGCAAAAGGAAGTTCACGCGCGGGTCGAAGACTAATGATGTCGGTCGGAGTCAAAGAAGGAACAAGTTCATGAACGGTGGTGGTTCGGTGCATGTGCATGTGCATGGGGGCAGCGGGGAAAGCGTTTCATCGCCAAAGCGAGTGTAGAAAATTAGGGCTTCGTTCGTGTAATTTTGACATTTTTTAAAAATAAATTTTTATGGATAATTTGAATTACTTAAAATTTTCAATTTAAACTAAAGCTGGGTTTGGTGCGAAAATTTTTAAATTTTTAAATTTAAATTTATTCAAAAACTTAAGAAAAAGAAATATTTAAGGTTAATGTTCAGTATCAAAGCTTTTTTCTAAATAAAACTCTTTGAAAACTATCAAACATCGCCTAAAAAATTAAGAATTTTTTTAAAATTATTTTCGTCCACAGTAAAAATAAATTGTCTTTGTCATGAAAATGAACTATTTGTATTATGCACAAAATTAATTAGGAAATAAATTATTTGTCCCCTCTTTTTGGAAATACCAAACAAAAAAACTAAAAAAGCTAAAATTGTAACTTGTAATGTTGCTTTTTCTTTTACCTTTTCATTTTTAATTTTATATTTTTCTTTGCTAATGGAAGCCAAATGCCAAAAACGACTTTTCTGTTGTTTATTCTTTTCTTCTAGAGTCCTCGAGGATGCCCCGCTTTTGCCAGCCGTCGCACGCGCATGTCACTCGACTCACACGCGCGAACAACTTAAGCCGCCGTTTGACGGTCAAAAGCTGTTAGTATTTTTTTTATAATGTGTTTTTATATCATAAAAAAATTAGACGGTAAAAGTTTTTAAAATTTTGAGAATTTTTTTAGTTCTCACGAAAAAATAAAACACTTTTGAGCTTCCTAATATGAGCAAGCATTTACAAAATATTGGAAACCCAATTGTGATTTCTACTTATTCTCGTCTAATTAGATGAAAAAAAATCAGAAGTTAAAATTTAAAATAGAGGTACTTATAGTTATAAGTAGCATTATTATTATAATTACGTGTAGATTGTTTTTTGAATATTTTTATTCTCATTTTTTAATAATTCAAAATTATTCATCATTTTCTACAAAAAAAATCTTAGAAATTGATTTTTTTCAAATTTTTTTAGACTTAAATAAAAAACCTATTTTATAGTTTTTTTCTCAAATTTTAACATATTTTATAAATACACTCATTTCTTATTTTTAATCCTTTTTTACCAATTATTTACTTTCTAACTTAAAAATGTTAGCGTACATATCAGCGCACATGTCAACTTTAATAAAGTTTTAATTGGAGTGTTAACAATAAGAAGAAATTGATAAATGAAAGTAAAATATTTGGACTGTTTTGATAGAAAAAATATTTGAAGAAGGAGAATTCTACGGTACCTCCCCAAAGGGAGGGCACTGGTGCCCACCCCTCTCATAAGGGGTGAGCCCCACTGTCAAGTCCCTGCATTGTGAGGGGACCCCACTGCCGAGTCCCCCCTCGCAAAAGGGGGGAGGGTACCGGTGCCCCTTGGGCACCGGAGTGTCCTCCTTTGAAGAAACATTCTGGTGGTCCGCATAACTTGGCGGGATAATTTGGGTGGTTTAGTCTTAATTTGATGAAAGGAAATCGTAGGTGGGGCAGAGCCCTGGATTGAGATTGACAATGCACTATAGTATTAGTGGCTAGCATTCAGTGGTATTTATCTTTCTTCTTCACTTTTCTTTTTTTTTTTTTTAGAGTAACTATAAACTCGTGGATCCATTTTTTATTTATTTTCTTTTAATTTTTCTGATTAAACCGCTAATTTTGAGTTTTCTAATCTAAATTTAAATTCAGAACATAACCAAAATTTTCTTGACTTGGAGATCAGATCCCTTTTGATTTTTTCTCTTTTCACTGGAGAGGTAAATCCAATTCATTTTTCCGGCACAAATATCTCGTCTTATTTTTGTATCAAAGAAATTTTTAAATGAAGTCATAATTTATTTTTTAATTTTTTAAACTTAAAAATTACTTTATAAATTTATATATTTGTTTTTTATGCGAAACAGAATTGTCCATAATTAGAAATCCAATATCATATAATTTATAAAAAAATCAAAACGGTCGAATTTAAAATAAAATAAAATTCCTTAAATGGAAAAAGAATAGTACGTTGGAATCCTCGTTGCAAAACATTTGTGCTCCGTAATATGTAAGACTGTGCAGAAAAAAGGTTGGTCTGACGATGAGGCAGGACCTAGCAGGTCTTTTTATTTTTTATTTCATGTTTAACTAAATAGAAAAAATATACATATAATAATAAATATTAAATTATTTATGAATAATTAAAATAAATTTGTTTCATTTTTTATATTTAAAAGTAAAAACAAAAAATTTTAAAAATTAAAATAACCAATATTAATATGTACAATCAAAATGTAATCAAATTATATAAATAAATAATTTTTATTTAATTACATAAATATAAAATAAAAATAATACTGCTGCCCCAGCATCAAACCAACCCGGAAAAAAGTATGGAGTACGACACGCAATGGATAAGAGGAATAGAATTGTCGACCGGCCTTTGACCACAGGAAAAAGCTTCCTAATTATAGAAGTTTGTAAATTCAGATCAGTCAAACTAGCTCCAAAAAAAAAAAAAAAAAAAAAAAAAAAAGCTTTACTCCCTACTTAGAATCTGTCAATCGGAGAAACTCCACAGCGACACTTCCACGTCACTCTCGTCATCACCCCAGGTGAAACGCTCGCCAATGCAAGGTGGCGAGTGCAACGGCCAGTTTGCCATGTCAGCCAGAAACCCAGGCATGTCAAAGCTGGCGCCGGCGACAGGTCGTCCACCCCGAAACCACTTCAACTCGGAGAACGTTAATGTCCTCCTTCGACACTTCATCGTCAACCTCAGGTCTCTCACTGCTCGAAGCCTCGTCGGAGACCATGATGATGTCGCCGTCTCCAGCCGGACGGAATGCCTCTGCAGCCGCCGCAGCGACCCTCCGGATGTCCTCTGGCTCGGACGATGCGGGTGCCGGCAGGCGCCACACTGAGTCCGCGAAGTTGAGGCACGCCGATTGGCCCCGCAGCGCCAGTGCAGCCACGTCGTGGGCTCGCGCAGCCATCTCTGCTGTTGGGTACGTCCCCAGCCATATTCGCTTCTGCTTCGTTGGCTCCCTCACCTCGCAGACCCATTTTCCGGGGTTCCTTCGGCGAACTCCACGGAAGACTGGGTGTCTCGTCTCCTTGAACTTCTTCCTCCCGGCCCGTTTCTTTGGCCGGCTTGATGCGAGGATCACCTCTTCATCGGAGTGAGCAGAGCGGTTTGAACCGGTAGAGTGCGAATTGCGGCTGAATAAAGAATTCATGGAAAGAAATTGCCTAAGCTGCGCTAAGGGAACAGAAATCTTGAAGAGTAAAAGATTGATTGTCTGGCCCTTGGGATTGTGTGTGAATACTGGGTTTATGTGTGAATATTGGGATGTTCTCTCTTAGGCTTCGTTATTAAAGTGGGGGGACAATTTTATAGAAAGGCGGTGCACACGGTTTCTTTACGACATGGACGCGAGGACGTGCCACGCAAGCGAGACTTAGCATGGAAGTATTGGAATTTCGGCCCAGCTGCCGCCCGTCTGGCCCACAGGATGTCGTATTATGTGGGGCCTTGATGACGTTACTGTAGTCGTCTCCTATTTTTTGTCGATGAAAAGCACGTGGGAGTTTTGAGGTTGGTTTTTTATGATTTGACCAGTGCGTTGGAAACATAGGATAGTGCGTGTGGCGGGGGTTGAATGGAAAAACTAGAAGTGAGTTTTGACTGATTTGATTCAGGTGGTGGTCCCACGGGTTACAGTGATTGCTCTCATGTGGAAGTGTGAACGGATCTGGAGTCCTTGCTGTTGGCCACAGAGGAAGCGAATTAGTGAAGTGCTTTCCAACATAAATAAATAAATTAGACATCGGTGTTAATCTTTTCTAAAATTGTTTCTTTAATTTTTATTATAAGATAATAAATAATTGTTAGCCATTTAATAACAATAAAAATAAAATTAATGATCTTGAATTCATGTCATATTTTACCTCCTAATCATGATTAACCTCTCTTCCTTCTATTTTAAATTTTTTTTTCCAACATTTTATCTCTAATTTTTTTGAACTTGTTCTCCCTAAAATTTCCTCTTTCTACCTCTTTTTCACTTCTTTTTTTCATTTTTCCCTCCAGATATTTTTCTACTTTTTTCTCTAATTTTCTTTACGAACTTTTTTCTCTATAACTTTCTTTTCGACGTCTTTTTTATCTAATTTTTTCTACAATTATCTATTTTAAAAATTTATATTTCTCTTTTTAAATTTAAAGAATATAGGACTATAAAAATATTTGTTATATTATTAAACTATCACTATTAGAAAAAAATTTAAAAGGTATCAAAATATATTTAGACCTAATAATCTTTAAAATAAATTTAACAGATGTAGACATATTCAAATATTTTATCAGGCCGGATCTAAACGGAACCCGATCCATTGATGCCCCAGCTCACACCCGCATAAGTTACCAAATATGGATTTAGGACTCTTTAATTACAAAATTAGCTAGATTTTGCAAAAATGATTTTCAAAATTGGATTTAAATAAAATATATTTGCAAAAGGAGAGTATGTTATTATTTGATTATAGGTTGAAATAAGTATATGGAAAGTAATTTTTTTTTAAAAAAATTGAGTTTAAATAAAATAATCTAAAAAATAAATTTAATAAAATAAGTTTAATTACTTATTTAAAAAAATTGTCCCAATTAATTTAAAATCAAACAAATTCTTTAGTTTTACACAACTATTACCTCTAATCAATCAAGTTTAATTAAAACTCGGGTCTGACCAGATTGGCTGGTACAATTAATTTGCCTGTTAGCTGGCCTAACAAATAATACTTTATAAGTAGAAATACAACCTAACTAGTTGAACCCAGTCAAAAGCTACACGGTTTTGACGAGTTTATTAAAACAGATTTGAAAACCCAACTCAACCCTGGTCCAAACCAAACTAGGAGGACTCTTTCAGTATTTGAAATTCTCAGATCGTCCATTTACATAGATCAACCTCATCTCCATCTCTCTCGTACTCAATCTCTCAGTCATCTCTCTTCTTATTTTGTTTACTGCTAGTCGAATCTTGCCTGCCACCAGTCCGACTCCATTAGAGCGTGTTGTTAGTCAACTCATGCCTGCCATTGCTCCATCTCCATTACAGCGCTCTTCTACCAGTCGACTCTCGCTTGCAAGTGCAAGCATAGGATCTAGGTTCCTCTCTCTCCCTCTTTCTATTTATCATCCCTATTCTATTTCTCATTTTTCACTTGCCTCCTTTTTGTTTTTTCATACACGTACATGGTTATTGATTTGTTCCTATCCATACACTTGTTTCTAGGAAATAAGTTGCGTGTTGATTTTGTTTTTCTAACACAGTATGTGGAAGAGTTCAGATGCAGCAGTTGACCCCTAGCCATTCTAAAGTCTCCAGGGGGAGGGGGGTTTTGAAGGATGTTGTGTACTCTGTAACTTGAAAATTCTTTTTTCCCTGTCAAAGTAAAATTTGTGCAGTTATTTTTTTCCCTTTTCGATTGTTCATTTCCTTTTTCCTTCCTGATCCGTAGTGACTCCTACTAAGGCACAAGGCTTAAGGCTATGGGGGGGAATGAAAGAGAAATGATAATATAGGAAAGAAAAGGGAAAAAAGACAAGAAGAAGAAGGGACGTTTTCTATTCCTCTACTTGGTATCATCCAATGTAAAAGAAGAGATGTTTCTATTCTTCTATTTGATTTCATTCCAAGAAAAGAATAGAAACACGTGTAAAAAAAAATATTGCGAGGACTTAATTCAATATAATTAAAATTACGGGATTTCTAGTCAGAATATAAATTTAAAAATTGAAGATTGATGTGAAAACTTAGGAACAGCAAAGATGAAATTAAAACTTGAAGGACTAACTTGCAAAGAAGTTATCAAGCATATCAGAACCACCTTGAAGCAGTTGAGCGAGAGAGCAGTCAAGAATTAGGAGGACGAAGTTAGTCGACATCGTCGGGGGAGGTATTGAGCTGGCGAATGAAGACGGCTAAATTAGAGAAGGGAAAATCAAGTCAGTGATTATTGATTATGTAGACGAAGTTGGACGCGGGGTTTGTTCGCAACCAGGAAGGACCAACTGCTCTATTTTGCTATAGGGAAACAGGGGTCCGTTTTTACAGCTAGGAAGGACCAATTGCTTTGTTTTACAGTATGTCTGTCGGGACTTTGTTGGCCTAGACAGCCCTATTGCACTCTCTTTCGGTCGATGGTCCTCCTCCACGCATCGACCGACGAAACAGGCAAACTAGAGCCTATTTTCTTTCCCTCTCAATCTGTCACTTGGTGGACGGACGAAAAAATCACGGGAACCCTGTAAATTTGATTTATTAATCTCTTCTCTTTTACTGCAAATTTCATACCACAACAACAGTAAGTCTACTATGTTATGTTTCATTTCCTTTCTTTTTCCACTCAAAAATGTGACCCAAACGTGTCCTAAGTGCACATGAGGTCACAAGATCTGAGAGAGAGAGAGAGAGAGATGCAACTCTGGGAGGGTCAAGCCTTTGCATTAGCAACTTAAACCCAAATTTTTCTCTAAATAAAGAACTTGAAATCCAAATGCGATACTTTGTTTATTTAACTAATGTAATTTTATTTATTAAATTTGTAAATATTTTTTACTATTAAACAATTTAATTAACAATTAAACCAATTAAACTGTCAATAGCTAAATGGATAAATATTAAAACATCCCTTTCAACGGGAACAACGGGCAAGTGGATAGCCTGTGAAAAGGGTTAAGCAGGGGCCCCTGCCTTCTCCATGCACTTTTTTAAAGTGCAAATTCATTAGGAGTCGCACCGTATTTTTCACATTTTTTAAGGAGGAATTATTATGAATAATCCCGAAAGCGCTGTGGTAGTAGGAAATGCGTCACTTCATGTCAGTTATGCTGTCAACTGCTGGTCTTCCACAATTCCCTTTTTCTTTTTTCGGTTTGACCAATTTATCCTTGTAAGAGGGCCTTTACAAAATAAAAAATTAGTTTTTTTAATCCTAGTCAAGCAGTTTACTTGGGGGCTTGTTTGTAATTTTGTTATTTTTAAAATTATATTTTATAATGTAAATATAGCAAACGCACGTTTAGTAATTTACACTTTTTTTAGAAAAAAAAATGAACGTAATTATATATGACTGTTGGATTGACGAAGTCGAGCCCCCGCATGATCCTGACGTATGTCGTGAACTACGTCGGTCGGCCCATACCACCCAAAGGGAGTTCGGGTCGGGCCAAGGCATTGCATTAGCCTGTCCGGAGCCGGATCCGAAAGACCCCTTGTCCGATCATGAAATTAATAAAAGTTAATAAAAATTAATTTTAAAAAATTACCGTATATTTAGTAATAAAAAATAATGGGATTTGGAATTGAATTTGAAATCCAAATCCCATTTTAGTATTTGACAAAAAATAAAATTTGGTATATTTATAAATTTTATCTGATGTTTAGTAAAAAATATGATTTATAATTTAAAATAAAACATTTTACTATTATACCCTTCAAATTAATTGCTTACCTATGATTATGATTTATATGTATGGTCATTGGTGGGAAAGAACAATTACTAGTTAAAGACATTTAATAAAAATTTGAAACTTTTTAAAATTATCCACTTAATGTGTTGATTCTAAATATATAACATAATTGGAATAGAAGGAAGTTGAGAGTAAACCAGTAGGTGATGCAACTTTTTTTCAACTTTTTTGCTCTAATTTTCTTTTTAACTTTTTTCTCTAGATTTTTCTTTTATACCTCATTTTTATCTAATTTTTTCTACAATTTTTTATTTTTAAAATTTATATTTCTCTATTTAAAAATAATGAATATATGACTATAAAATATTTTTATATTCACTAAACTATCACTATTAAAAAAATTTTAAAATGTATTCAAATATATTTAGACCTAATAATCTTTAAAATAAATTTAACAGATGTGGACATATTAAAATATTTTATCGGGCCGGCTCTAAACGGAACCCGATCCATTGATGCCCCGGCTCACGCCCGCATAAGTTACCAAATATGGATTTAGAACTCTTTAATTACAAATTTCATCAGATTTTGAAAAAATTAGTTTAAAATTTGGATTCAAAGAAAGTAGATTGGAAAAAAGTGGGTTTAAGTAAAATAAATTTTATTATTTGATTATAGGTTGATGAAATAGGTACATGGGAAGTAAATTTTTTTAAAAAAATAGAGTTTAAATAAAATAATTTAAAAAATAAATTTAATAAA